GCACTGTGCTGTCCCGCTACAGCTAGCATCTCTGGCTAGCCTCCCAGGCGCTGGAAACATCAATAAACCCCTGCCTTTCATTTCAATGTCAAGCCTCCGACGTATTTACCCGACAGAGGAGCCAAATTCGACGATAATAACTTCCCTATATTCGACACCTCCGCGCTAAATGTCCGTGTTGAAAGCGCCCGGCTAGCTGAGCGATGCTACAGTCTCCAGCGGTTAGTGTGACAGGAGTTAGGCAGGCGGAGGATGAGTGCCTCTGGATGAGGAGAGCTGGAGTGATGGACATCAACCGTCACGCATTTAAACTCAACACTCGATACAATAACTCCAAAATGTTATAATAACAGCAATTAAATGGATGATAGACAAGCTTTTTTTTTTTTTTTTCTTACGTGATTTGGGAGGCAGAGAGCGGCTTTAATCCGTCGGAGATAATGTTTGGCGGAGTCCTGCTGGGGATTTCTTTCTTTCTTTCTTTCTCTCCCCCTCCAGCTGCCGCTCTATCCCAGCAGTCTCTCCAGCCTGCCGGAGCGTCCCGGTGTTCTTGTAACACTCGCCCTCCAGTGGAGAACACTTTGATTAGGGGAGCCTCCTCTGATAGGCAGCGCGCTGCCCTCCCCTGCACCCACCGCAGACAGCCAAAGACTGAATGAGAGTGCCTCTGTTTGATAGAAGAGTGAGTCATCCAGCAGAACCATACCCAGCTCCTCCTCCTGTTTCTAACAGCTGACTACTGTAGCCTCCATGCACTGATAAAACACAAACAGTGCCTCCCTTTATAAAGTCAGTAACAGGCTGCTTCACTAGAAATCCATTAACTTTTCAGCTTTATCATCTTTTTTCAATATCTTTTACCAATGTAAAACCTTGTTCCTTTACATTTTCAGAGTGAAACTCAAGTAACAAAGTACAAATACTTCATTACTTTTTAGGTATCTATACTTTACTCCAGAGGTCTTCAAAGTTTTCCAGGCCAAGGACCCCCAAACTGATGGCCTACTTATATATATATTGTATGAAATTGTGTTATATCAAACTGGTCCTATAGTCGCTGTATTACATATGGAGTCATGTAACAAAAGTAATTTCACCCTGGGATTATTAAAGTATTTCTGATTCTGATTCCTGGTTGATGGGACAGGTGTTGTGAATGAAACGGTGCAAATTAAATGCATGTGGTGCAATTTTTCAGTGTTTTGAGTTGGTGAAATAAGTTTGATGCAGAGGCTGTGACACTGCGTAGAGTTGATGAATTCATGAATTAGGACAATATCCAAATTACTCAACATAACCTTAAATCCTTAACTCTACCACTGGTTTAATGCTCCAGTGGGACAATGATCCCAAACATATAAATCACAACTAGTCTGGAATGGATACAGTTTGTCAAGACTAAACTTTATTAAAACCTCAGCCCAGTTCCAAACTTAATGGCAATGTTAAAAAGAAAGGTCATTATCGGAAAACACATTAATTAAAACAAACTCAATGTATTAGGAAGAAGGGTTCACTATCTAGACAGAGACATGTGCAGAGCTTGTTGATGACAATGCAAGTCTGTTATTTCTCTGCTACTTGCTCATCCAAATTTCACATCTTTGGATGATTGTTTGAATATTAAATGTATATATTCTTTTATCAACTGCTAAGTATCTTTATCCTGCTTTTTCGTCTATTGACCATGTCACCTAGTGTCCCAAGCCTTTTCCTTGTAAACATGTATAATTTACAGTGCTTGGGGCTGTAAAAAAAAAAAATTCTGACTTCTATATCCATAGTCTTGTTTTTAACATGTATTCCTACAGTATCTGATGTTGCTATCTGTCCACCATAAAACCGAGCTTTTTAAAAAGTAATCATCAGTTGCAAGTTATGAAAGTCAGGCACAGGATGGGTGTACGCATCCCTGCTGTTTGTAGCATAGTACCAAAAGAGTGGGTAGTAACTAGTTATGTTTACTCAGCTCATTAGGTAAATTTATGAAAAAAATAAAAATTCTTTTATAAGTAGTTTTAGTGTATTATTTTCTTTCTTTTACTTTAGTAATGTGAAATATCAATTCTCTTACTGGAGTAAAATTTCCAGCTACTCTGTCCTCTGTAACTTGAGCTGTTTGGAGATCAGGTGACTATACGGTAAACAGTGGAAGTCCTTCAACCTGAACAAATATATAAGGATTTTTTTTTTACATATTTCATTTGGAAAAAAGAATGGATTTGAAAAAAGGGTTTCTTCCACATGAATTTGTTATTTTTTTTATTTTTGGTTTATATCCATCTTTAAAATATAAGAATTCACACCATCACCTATGTCTAATTGCATATTTTCTAAGTATTAAATCAGATATTAAGATCCAAATATTAGTACTTGACAAACCATTTTACTAAATATATATTTACTGTTACATGAGTAATTTCTTGGACGTATACTTTTTACTATTACTTGAATGCATAGAGTAGAAGAAACCTTTGCAAAGAATCCCTTTTTTACAGAAAAAGTTTTCACACTCTGCCCAAGGTTATAAAAATTAACATCGGTTTTTCTTTTTTTGATTTTCAGAAACCCCTACGAATCAGCTAAATATGTACTTAAATGTTAAACTTAGAAAAATATTTTCTATATTTACCATTTAAAGCCAAAGACGCAATTGTTTTTAATTGCTCTATGATCAATGTGTTTCTAAATAGGCAACCAAAAAATGTACAGTATATATTGATTTGTAGTTATAACAGTTTTAGGGAAAACAGTAAAAAAACTAAAGGAAAATGTTACTCCATCTCTTCTGGGAGGGCTATTTTAGGCTTTATATAATTCAAAAGTCTTGTATAGTAAGAGATAATGTTAGAATTACAGTTGGAAATGCATCCAATGCAGATTAAGATTAGGGGTTTGTGTTGGCATTCTTAGCTTTAGGATTAAGTTTAGATTAAATTCACATTGAGGCAGCATAGGCAAATTCTGCACTCAGGGACCAAAGACTTAAAGTACACCACTCACATGTCTGTATCTTCCTCTGTGTGTGTGTGTGTGTGTGTGTGTGTGTGTGTGTGTGTGTGTGTGTGTGTGTGTGTGTGTGTGTGTGTGTTTGCTTAGTGTACCTGCCCATTAGCACTCTGCAGACCTCTCCTCTTCTGCTGCGCCTCATTAAAGTCCAGTTAAAGGACACCTCCTCCTCTTCATCCCAGCAACAGATGGACAGACGCAGGGCAATAATATTCCATGGAGTTCCATGAAGGGGCGTCACTGTTTATGTAATTCAGTGAATCTTATTAAAAAGTCGCTCTCCTTCCTTCCTGAACTCAGGGTTAATTAGCTCACTTCCTAGTTGCTGCTGCGCAGAGGCCTCTGAGTGGTCACAGCGGTTGCTAGGGGTGACTGGGCTCGCCCTTAGCTCCTGATGCCTGTTGGGATTGGACTGAGGAGCTGCGACTGAGAAGGAGACAGTGTTTATGAGGTCTGAAAAACAGCAAACAGCATGCAGTTATAGACACAGTTTGATTTGCCCGCTCGCAAGGACAAGGACATGAGCTGCAGGTATAGACGGACCTATTAGGAGACTCCTCACACCAAGAGTTTGAGGCTTTGCTGGTTTCTGTTTGGTTTGGAGCAAAATGTGTTTTTTTCTATATTAGTATGTGTGTAAAGATTACAGCTTGAATAAATAAATGTGTTGAAAGTATCCCCAGAAACAAAAATGGGTATTTTCTGCACTGCTTCTCTGTGGAATTAAATTCTCCCTTGGTTGTTTGAAAGATAGGTTATTGATGCCTTGGAGTTAATAGAAAAGTAGGCTGCGAAGGCTGCCTCTTGCTCCCAACTGCCCTTGAATGTGACACTTGTATATCATAGAAATAGCCATGCTACATAGAGTCCATTTGCCTCAGATGAGAGCTGCCAAACTCCATAACTGGGTTGCTGACTGTCTCATGAGTGATAAGCTTTTTGAAATGTGGCCCAACAAGTTTTTTTTTATTTCCAACACATACTTTTAATGTGTTGAAGATGTGTTTCAAACCGAGATAACTCATCTTTGTTGCTTCAGAAAGACAGAGTTAATATTTAATGCCTGAAAATATTTTAAAGGGATAGTTCTGATTCTTTTTGAGATGAGGTTTTATAAGGTCGGAAGCAATTAATACCTTCTCTGCACATAATTATTGGCACCTTGTTTAGGGCAAATCCAGATTATTTTGATTCTGGATGCTAAAGCTGATGGCTTCTCAGAGAAGGGAGAACACCAGAGCAGACTCTTTGTTACAAGAAAATAAACTATTAATTATAGAACAGAGATGCATTGGAATGTTATTCAATAAACCTTTACAAATGCTTAGGCTTGCATTGCATATTTCCACAAAAGTAGCTACCAGACTTTTACAGTCAGAACTTTTTCGATCAATACAAGCATCACTTTTAACCAATGTTTTTTTTACTTTTTAACCTTAACCCTTTGACCTGAAGCTTATTACATGTTCTGGTATAATTGTGTGTTTTAGACAGGCGAATCTTTAGCGGTGCAACGCCTCCAACCTTTATTACCTGTAGAAATAATCCTTAACTCCTGTGTAAATAAGCACCCACATGCAAATGTGATGGTTTCAAGGTTTGAAAACAGCAACAGCTACAATGTTTTAGAGATTAGTTGTTTTAGGACCATACAAACTAACCATTAACCTAAGCCTTTGGGACCAATCTAAAACAGATTTATACCAAATAAAGATGCCAAGAGGGTTATCTACAAAAGATGAGGTTAAATATTTATAACATTTTAATCGAACATCACTACAAAAAGCTTGATCTATCCCTTCATTGCACACAAAATATAAATACAAGAACTGATTAATATTTGAAACCATAAGGTGGTTGTATGTATGTAATTAAAAACAAAAGAAATTAAATGCAAAAAGACATAAATAACGTTAAAAAGGAAGCTGAGTCGTCTAAAGACAAAATTAAGACAAACAACTCCATCCCAGCAAAGTACAATAAAAGCCACATTTATTTTAATTACAAGCAACTTCCCTTTACACTAAATATTTTCTTCATTTTTATCCTGAATGTCATATATAATTACATTTTCTGAGTGCATACATTTAAGTTAATATGGGGCCTGTTAAACAAAGTGGTTCAAGGCATAAAAGAAAAATGTCTCTCCTTTTTTATAAGAATACTGCTCATCACAAGCATCATCAGTAGTGGTACTGTACTAAAAAGTGCACACGGTCTATTAATACAGCTTCATATAGTACATCAAAATGGAAATTTAAACAGTGGTGCATTTCATACATTCAAAATCAAACAAGACAAATCTTTTCAAAGGCGTGGGACTCTCACATCAATGTGGTCTTTTCAAATTATTACACAAACAGTATCGCCTAAAAATCATCTCCTTCTATTTTCAGCTAAAGATGATTTCATATCACATGACTCTCTATAGAGCTTAATGGCACTGGGCAGGTGGGAAGTCAAAAGATACTTCCTCATATGTTATGAATGGGCATAGTTTACATGTGAAATAGGAGGAAGTTGAGCATTACAGAATATTCAGGATTTATTTAAACAAGGTTTAAAAAAAGTCTTAGTTTATATGTAAGCTGCAGGTGACACCCCTTTTTGTCTTAGATCTGTATTTAATATAAATCCATGTTAGAAGGATGAGTAAAGCTTTACAATTCGGGACAGAAAACAGAGCAGATTCTGTTTCTTCTTAAAACATCCCAAGTCTCAAAAACGGTGCCAATGCTTTTCTGTTGAGGCTCTAGTTTAATTCAACATTTGAAATTTTTTTTTAGTTAATTCCTTTACATTACCAATTTATCCTTTTCTTATATAATTTTTAAAGTAAAACCAGAAATTTAAATAGTTAATTATGAGGCAATCAATAGTAAATTAGTTCATAATGCTCAAATTTGATGTTGAATTTTGCTTTATAGCATGTTTGTTATGATAAATCCTTTTAATGTCCTACTTCCATTTATCTTGGTTGATCTCCTCCAGCTGGTCCAGCTGTCTGTCATGAAAATGGAGTGATCATCCCTTGATTAAACCAAATTGACTGAGGGACATCATCATGCTCACTGGTGGTTATTTACTTAAGCCCCAAAAGGTAATTTCTTTAAAGGTTAATTTAATTTAAAAAAAAGAAAAAAAAAGAAAAGAAACAAACCTACCAATAATAATAGTCTTTTATGCAGGTAGAAAGTGTGCCCAGGTGTTTTCAAATATCTTTATGACAAATTAAAATAGACGGTGATGCAAGACCGACGATCTTGTGAAAAACAACAGATCATGCATTGGGTTTTTGCTCAAATTAACTTCCAAAAATAAAAGTACCGTAGAGTTAGAATCAAAACAATGTTTTAGTGAAACCATGAAAATATATTGTACTCCTGGCACAGTTACAGTTACTCTGACTAGAAACAATTTATATTTACTTCTCCATACCTGCTTAATACAGGATATCTACTGTCTCCGTTTATTATGTATTTGCTTAGTGGCTTTTGTGTAAACAACCATCCAAGGCTAAACAGATGACAGTTTAAAGTTTCATAAAGTAGCATTTTCTTTAACTGCTTTTAAACAGGGGCTGAATGGTTCTGGACCCTTCATGAGCTAACTTCAGCCAGGCCTAACTATTATGGCCTTATGGAAAATGAAAAAAGGAGAGTTATCTGTATACCATATTACTGTAAATATAAATGTTATGGTGCCTTTTTAAAGATCTTCACCTTAAAAAGACTAAGCTGTCCCTACAGTACACTGCAAGAAGTATCTAGAAATAAGTAAACATTTCTTAAATTAAGTGTATTTACCCATAAATTGAGTATGTAAATAAGATGATTTGCCAATAGAAGGAGATTTTTTTACTCTTAAAATAAGATAATTAGATAATATGCACTTGAAATAAGACAATGTAGTTGTTTTTTCTTATTTTAAATATTTATTTAAAAATGGTCTCATTCCATCGGCAAAGTATCTCACTTACCTCCTCAAGACTTTGCTAGATATTGATTTTTTCCTGTGTATAAAGACCTCTAACCATCAAAGATATCTTAACCCCAAATAGGGGCAAGTCTTGACCATTTTGAAATAATAAAGCCAACAATATTTTAAGCAAAAAATAAAAACACTCTGTTAATAAAGTCATAAATTATTCAAATACATAAAATGTATAACAGCAGCTAATCAGAATATTGAGAGCATTTTTTTTAGGAACAAAGGTTTTTATGCAATTATTTTCATCAAGGAGAAAAAACTGCGGACTTTTCTCTCTTTATGGTTTTCTGAGCTAATTATGGATTTAATTTACAACTTTTATCTTTTTTGCTTGCAAACCAAAAACATAATTACATTTATGTAATTCATAACCATTAAAATCAGGAAGAGTCATGATGATGTGACCTACATGTTTTCCCTTAGATTTTGCAGGCCAGTAATTTAACACCATATGACGTCATTGGCAATTTCTCATGTTTTTGGATTTAAAAACATTTCATAATTGACAAGTTACTATTATCATTTTATTTGCCACATTACATTTAAAATGGCCAGATTTTATTTGTTATTGGTAGGCAACACGTTGATGGCCATATAACATTATTGATTGTTATATCGTCTATTAGGATAAAATGGTTTTTCCACATATTTTTGTTACTTGCAGCTAAAACCCTTCAAACTGGCAAAATATTCAGAAAAAAGGTTGATTTTGTGTGTGTGTGTGTGTGTGTGGGTGGGTAGTTCTTTCTGTAGTATGAGCATCTGTTGTAAACTTTGAGATTTAAGCATAAAACCAAGTACAAAAATCGGAAAACCACTTACTTTGACTAAAAAGATCTTATTGTGGGAAATTGTCCTTGGTCTGACATTTTAGCTAAACAGGAAAATGTAAATACAGTAACAATCAATCTGTTTACTTGATGCTCCAAGCATTGCATCTTAAAGTCCCATTTCCACAGTGTTAATAAAGCCACATCAGGTCAGCTATTTTGCAGGTTCAATCAAAATGTACCAGAAAGAAAAAAACACCTGTTATCACAGCTAATTCAACATTTACAGTTGTTCAGTTGCATGCACACACTGTACAACAAAGCCTTCCCTTCTCTTCCTGGTGTGACAGAGTTGGCAGTAAACAATGTAAAATGTATTAAAAACTGGCCAAAAACAAAATTACACTGAGAAATGACTAATGATTATATTAAGCCGAATTTCACATTAGACAAATAAAAGTAAAAAAAATATATATAATAGCAGCAACACCTAGGCTTAGTTCTGTGAGAACAAAACTGCAAACCAGAAAGCCGCCAGTGCCTCTAGGTTAAATTAGAGTTATACAGTGTTTTATACAGTGAAGCTTTAGTGCAAATAAGGTGGTGAAACATATTCGTATAAAGATGGAAACCTCAAAGGCTGAGTATGTAAAGGTTTTTTTGACAGTGCAAGTCGACTGAACTGAAATTCTCGTTCAAGACGAATCAGATCTTGGCACATCAAACCCCTCTGACTGTCACAGCATTATGATAACCAATATGATAAAAAGAAAACTCCTCTGTCTGTGCAATAGTTCAAGTAAGTTATTTCCTTCACATAATTAGTGTTCAGTAACACATCCTGTGGCCGTGCCGAAAGAGAGGACAACATACAGATTAACATACAAATACACAAAAAGACCTATTTACAGGAAACAGTTTTCTGGACAGGACTTCACTCCAAGCTGAGAGGACCTCTACTCACCCATTCAGGCTCAGATTTGATCTAATCCTCCAATTGGTTACAAGTTGGACCAAATTCGACGCAGTCTCATCCTAAATATGTGGTCACAACCTCAACAATGTCCATCTATGAAGCAAAAAGTTAGATCCTTAAAGGGCGGTGTCAAAAACTTGCTCCGACGAGCCCTCCTCTATGTCGTCCTCAGACTGCGATGCCTTGTGGTTGAGCCTCTCTGCTGTTGAGGAGGCAACAAGGTTTGCAGGGAGGCTATCATCACAAAGTTTGGTCTTACTGCTGTCCTGAACAAACTCCTGGATTTCCACAGGTAGTCTGCGAAACTTGTCCTGGTATTCCTGGTCCAGATCACTCTGCAGCTGCAGAAAAAGAACACATTTCCAGTTTAGAATTCATATAAAAGCTTTAAAAAGAATGCTACAGGTTTTAATCTTATATGAGCATACAGCCTATTAATGTATGGTCAGTTAATCAGAGCTACAAAGGTTTGTAGACGTTTCCACACCCTTAAATCTTTTCCCAATAAAACCACAAACTTCTGCTAATTTAAATGCCATTTAACAGGCGTAGAGGGAACATTTTTGTAATATTTTGTTAGCAGGCAAAATTATAAAAAGTGTGCTAAGAATTTGTCTTATTTTATTCTGATTCTGCTAACTTAAAAACTATTTTTATAGTTATTATTTTGACACCTTCAGTGCACTTTTGTTTATATAGAATTAAAGCCAAAAGACATCATGTTTACCACAAGCCATAAAGGAGACATTGACATGTGAAAGACAAATTTTCAGCAGATGAGAAAATTGTGACATGCAACCAACTGTGGAAACATTTTGCTACAATCAATGCAAAGTGTTGTTTTACATTTTATTTTTAGCTATAAATCAAATCTCGTAATTAAGGGTTTCTTTATATATTTTATATAAATATGTGTAGATCAGGTCCTGCAAGCTAAAACTGATCCATACTTAAAGATTCCAGAAAAAGCTGCCAAGTTTAAATCTAATGATGCCGACCTGTGTTCTCTTTGCACCCATCTGTTACACACTCCCTCCTGTCTTAGTAATAGAAAGACGATGTTTTCCTCAAGGCACAGACGCCCCCAATGATTACAGATGACAGGATTCTATTCATTTCATTGTGAGCCAATAATTGCCGTAATGCTGATTTCTGTTTAACTACCCAGCAAGCTCCCAGGGGAGGGCAGTAATTAAAAGAAAACGCTCTTAACGTGAATGGTGTCAGAGTCTCCCAGCTCACTCCAGCATTCTGAAGAATCAAAAATACCTGCATTTCCTTACAGGAGTTTTACTGTACAAGATCCACTTACCTACCCTGAGACCAATAACAGTCCCAGTTAAATAAAGATTTCAAAAATGATCACAATCTTAAACAAAAAGAACTCGGGACTTATAAAACTGACAAAAAGAAAAACAACCATCCCTAACAAGACATTTACTTCAAGACATTTTGCATAACTTCAAGCTCCCAGATTAGGAATAGTTTGTTATTGTCCCAACATGCCTATCGTCCCCACCGGAGGATCTTTAAAGATGTGGATGTGTGGGTGTACTATAGATCTGTCCCTATTGGGATGAATAAGAGCAAAACCAGGCCTTCTCCTCCAACATCAGTGTCTGATCTCACAAATGTTGGCGGCGCCCGTAACATTCAGGATGTTTGGTTATAATTGTGACATTTCGTTGTTTGCGGAGAGTCAGACGAAGAAGGCAGCCTTTGGTGAATTTACTTGACAGAGTCGGCTTTAGGGAGGTGGATACGACAAACGATAGTCTAATCAGGGCTTACAAATGCAGGAAACAATGACAGACGTTGAGGTTCATTACACTGCTAAGCAGAATCATCACTGAAAATCGTGTGGCATGGTAGGGAAGCTAGTATTTTAATGAATGGCTGAAATGTCATGATTACAGAAGCAGAGGCATAGCCAGAAATCATTTAAAAGGGTGGCCTGGCAATAACCAATGTACACCGAGGGGTGGCTGAAAGCCGATAGGCGCCAGAACCTCACGGTAATTCTACACTATTCCAACAGGAAAATCAATGAGCAAACCATCCGTATTTTCTAAATAAAGAAAAACGATACTTTTCTACAGCCTTTGCTAACAAATAGAGGTATATATTTAAACATCCGTAATTTCTTGATAAAAGGTATAGTTAATAAAACTCAGTTTTGAGTTCTGGGGCTTCTTCTTCTTACCTACTTGTATCAATAAACATTCTGCATACATTTGATATTTTTACAAGTACTATTATCTACATAAATTGATAATTTGCTAAGTTTTTATTAAAATTGTTATTTATCTATGATTTCACTGAAGACTCCTAGATGACTTGCAGAGACACATGTTACCCTTTACCCCATAAAACACAAAATCTAGTTCTGAAAAGAGCATGAATTCTGTACTTATCTTTAATGTTAGTATATTGATGTGTATAGTTAACCACAAAAAAATTTTATGTTTTGAATATTCCACTTGAGAGTATTACTGCTGCCATCATCTGTATCAGAGGGAAAAAATGGTAGGGGTGGCCAATGATTTGCTAAGGGTAGTCATGGCCACCTCTGGTCCCCATCTAGCTCCGCCCCTGTACAGAGGCTGACTGTAAGGAGATGACACGGTCTGCTCATACGTTCTTTATTATCTGAGAACCGAGTCAAAACTGAACCGCGCCACACCCTACTGATGGACTAGTACCATGTTAGCGTTGTTCGGTTGTGTCTGGCACAGTCCGGTTCAGTTGTCCGCGCCATTTACACTTAACAGTTAACTCGTTTACTGTGCTCGGACCGATCTCAGCATGGTTTTAAAAAGGTAGTGTAACTGGGGATACTATGAACAGGCCAAGCAGAAGAGCTAAAGCTATTGTAGCTCCAAGTTTTCCCTCTATCATATTAAACCCCATGAATAAAAAATAGGACGTCATTCAACTTCATGTTAGTCAGACAGACAGGCCACAATGTTAGCCAGTTCACTGTATTTCCCCATTGAAAGGACAGATCAAATGGACAACATATAAACGCTGTTCACTGGGCTATGGAAATTCTATTACAACTAAACAGTTGGTAATTAGTAGTAATGGCTCCATTTCCCATTTTGCTGGCAGACGCTCAAATTTTCTCTACTTGTATAAAAATGGATGCTAAAACTGCATTTTTAAAGCTCCATAGGACATTGGACTGTTTCCCATCACTCTTATTTTTTGATAGATCTATCTGTCTTAGTATATGATGCAGTGCAATATTTTAAAGTGCAGGCAGTAAAATTTAATGAGGCAGATGATTCAAACACATACAGTAAGTGATGTAGGTAGACTGCCTTTGACTTAAGGCAACTCCTGAAGAATGTCTCCCTGAAACATTGGAGCAGCAGCTCACAGCAGCGTCTCATCAAACCCCCACCAAGCACTGCATTTCAAGGTCACCTTCTCCAAAGCATGTCCTCCTTCTCTCATGCCTCTCTACCTCTCTCTTTTATGTCCTTCTGAGCTTCAAAGAACGGACATATATCACGTCAAATCCAGTCGGCTGAAGCCGCTGTGCAGCAACAGACAGCTTCTTGTTTTGCAACTTATGTGACCTACTTGAAGGTGGGACCTTCTACAGACACAATATTGAGGTTTTTTTAACCTTATCATAGGTACAAACAGCTTCTGATTAAAAGCTGTCATCTTTACCCCATCTGATCAAACCCTGTCTTGTGAAAAAGGACTGGAAGGAGAGGGTGGAGAAAGGTGGGAATGCCAGGGGCTTCTTAAAATGCAAGTGCTTGTCTTTTTCATATAATCAACAACTCTGGAAAAAACCAGACTGCCTTCTGTTTTTTTTTTTTTTGCTGAGTGATGAAGACAGCACTTTTCTTTCTCCAAAGGAACAGCTTGAGATAAAAATAGTCTGGTTGAATGACACAGAGACGGCTGGAGCATCAAACAAGTAACAAGGGCAACAATAATTTGAGTGTTCTCCTGGTCTATTGCTTCTAGCTGACATCCTTTCAGTTGTCAAGGAGATTAGAAACAGAGACACTTTGAACACACTGAAACACTACCTTTGATATTTTTGTTTCATTTTGTCTAATTATCTTAAATCAAACTCACTTCTTCATATTTCCCCCCAAAACATCGCTTCCTGTAAAGAGGTTAAAATGTATAAAGAAGTAGGATTACAGATCAGGTTTTAAAGATAAGACTTTTTCTTTAGGCAAAGAAAAAAAAAAATACCAGAAGCTTTTAAATAAATGTGACTTTGGTGGTGGTTTGCAAATGTCCTCATACCAATTACATTTTTATTTCCAGGGGATTTTATGTGAGACACCAAGACAAGAAAGACTAAGAGGAAGAAATTCATAAAAAGTCACATTTACGGTTTACCTCAAGCCATGTCTGGGGCAAGACGTGGAAGTAGTAAGACTATATTAAATATAGCAAACTCATAACAGCAGTCTATTCCATTAACCCGCCCAGAGGAATCTGGAGAAATGTGCCGACAGAATTAGAAATGTTTAAAGAGATTTCAACTAACAGTAGCTTAAATTTGTGAACACCGCTCTTGTTCAGCCGACAGAGGTTTATAATCTGGTTCTTTTATTTTTCTGCTGCAGTCAATTTTGTCAGTGTGAGTAGTTTGGAAGGTTACAGTTTAAAAACATAATTAGGGACAAGGTTTTTATTAAATCTTTGGGAGGAAGGCCAATGGACAAAGAAATGTATTCAGTATTTTTGGATTTCTCCAGTTAGCAATAATGTTGACATTTATGGCCTCTAAAGAAGTTAGTACCATAAAGCTAACTTTGCTAATCATCCTAAACACAAATTCTCACCATGAGGATGATAAAGTCAGGATGATTTGCTGGTGGATGCATAAAAACTGGGGATTTTCTTAAGCAAGAAGGGAAAAGCTGAGCAGTGTTGGTTGGTAGAGAGAAGAAGCTAAATACAGGCCAATCTGTGGCAAAAAGAAACAAAAAAACTTTCAAGACAGCAAATATCACGATACTGATGTGGGAGTTCACTTTGGTCCAACAACATGAAGTCTCTTTAAATGCATTCATAACATGAATGCATTTAACACAGAACATTTAAGAGGACATTTTGTCAATCACTAAGTTTACCTTAGATCCCACGATCACCACTTATGAATCCAGCAAACAGTAAGACTTTAAAGACACTGGTAGCTATAAAGCTGGAAACAGCTTAAAGTTTTCCAGTAATTGTCTTTCCCAGTAACTAATATTATCTACATATATATTGGCTTAAGGAAAAGAGATTTAATTTTTTTTTAAGGTACCGGTATATAAAATACACAAAAGCTTTGAAAGCTTAAACAAAAAACAATGGG